GATGGAGAATTGTTGAGAATACTTCCAAAATGTAGTCACGTTTATAATTTAGAATGCATTGACAAGTGGCTACAACAACAAGGATCGTGTCCTATTTGTAGAACTTACATTCTTCAATAGTTTTGTATTTCTTGTCAAATCTCTTTTTTTGTGTGTTCCAAGAGAGTAGCTATAATTGCAAGCTTTAACTTTATTATATGGTAGCGTAAACTCTGTTTTTGACCACATAAAATTTGTAACAGGGTGAAATATAAGAATTGTTATTTAATTGAATTTTGAAAATAAGTTATGGTTTAAACTTTTATATAAATAAAACATTTTTAATAATATAACTTTAGAAGTATTGTTATTGATTTTATAGTTATGTTTGGTTGCTTATGTGATTAGTGTTGCATTGTCTTATTCAAATTAGATATTTGTTTTTATATTATTATATTTAACAAGAATTATAATATTTTAAATATAAATTAAAAAAAATTAACAAGAAAAACTAAAAACATGAGAGAGAAATTACATGCGAGTTTACCTGCAGATATTTATTTTGCTGCGACATTTCCTGCGAAAATTTCATTTACCTGCGTTGTTATCTGCGAATTTATCTATTTTACCTGCGATATTTTCCTGCAACACTTTCTTGCGGCTTTTTCCTGCGGCTTCAACTGCTATATTAATTACCCACGAAGGTTTTAGCTGGGAACAGAAAATAGCAGGAAGAATCGCAGGTAACACGTTTCCTGTGAAAATTTTGTCAAATCAGCAGGAAAACAGAGTATTTCTAGTAGTGTATCATCATAGCTGGTAATTCTCTTGCATAATTTTTTAGAATCAAAGCTATTCTATATCAAAATTTCAAAATAAAAGACCTTAGCATCCTTAAATATTTTCTAGGATTAGAAGTTTCTTATTCCGAAGATGGTATCTGCATATCTCAAAGGAAATATTGTTTGGATCTGCTTGAATCCTCTGGGCTCCTTAGATTTAAACCATCTAGCACATACATTTATCCTTCATCAAAAATTCATCAAGACAAGAGTCAACCTCTTGAAGATATTTTAGCATACAAAAGAATCATTTGCAAACTCTTATATCTCAACATCACTTGACCTGACATAACTTTAACCATACAATAACTCAAGAAATTTTTGGATTCTCCCACTACCACTCACTTCAAGCTTGCATGTAGAGTGATAAGATACTTGAAACAAAATCTTGGAAAAGGTCTTATGTTTCCTAGGAATTCAGACACTTAAGTTAGAGGATATGTAGATGCAGACTGGGCTGGATGTCATGATTCAAGAAGATCCATAACTGGTTTCACTTTCTTCCTTGGAAATTCCCATATATCTTGGAGAGCAAAGAAGCAGCCAACCATCTCAAGGTCCTCTTTAGAAGCTGAGTATCTAGCTTTGTCTACTTCCACATTTAAACTGCAATGGCTCTTATATCTCTTAAAAGACTTGGACATTGCAAGTAGTAAATAAATTGTGTTGTACTGTGATTCCCAAAGTGCCATCCACATTGCTTCAAATCCAATTTTTCATGAGAGAAAAATCACTTAGAGATTGACTGTCATTTTGTTCGAGAAAAGGTTCAAAAGAATGTCCTCAAGCTATTGCCTATATCCACTCAAGAATAGCTTGCAAAGTTTCTAACAAAGGCATTGGCTTCACCAAAATGTGAAGCTTTTGTGTCCAAGCTTGGAATGATAGAAATTTATCATGGTCAAGCTTGTGGGAGGGTGTTAAATGACAAAGCAATAGATCATCAAGGCTCTTTAAAGAAAGCGAGGTGCACATCACATGACATGCATGATGGCACTCTTATAAAGTAGAGATTATATGGACTCTTATAAAGACTATGGATTGGCAAGGCGAGATTGATTTTTGAAGCTCATACATTGTTAAAAAGATTTGTAGGATATAATTTTATGTTGACAGTGATGATAATCCCTTCCTTACTACACCAATGGACCAAAGACTTTAAAAAAATTTCATGATTGCATGAATTTTCAACCTGTTTTTCTGTTATGATCTAGTGTTCTTAATTAAAAATAATATGGTGAGTAATGGACAAGTTTCTAGTACCACTTTACATTCTTTTGTCTGTTCTAGAACATGTTTGAATTTTGTGTATTCGATTTTGAGACTATCTTGTGTTATCTTGTATTTATGTTGTTATGTCAAGCAAAAAGTTTTCTATGTTGAGCGATGTTGATTGAAAAAGTACTTTGAAAGATGTTTCTTGCTTTAAGAAAAATCTCTAATTACATTATGTATCTTTGTTATGTAGACTTTTGTTAAATTTTCTATCTTGCTGAATTTCAAGGTTAGAATCATATGTTATATATAGAATATTTTTTGAATTTTCTATCTTGCTAAATTCCATAAGGGTTTCATTGTAGCTTGCCAAGAATAACACATACGACATGAAAAAATAATTGTTTATCTCTAATTTTTACTTCATGGGGTTTTTAATGATTAAGGTGACTTTAATCGGCATAATTTAGATATCATAAGTAGGGTTGGTAAAATATGGATTGATTTGAGGTTTAACAAATAAATTTTTTATTTTATTTTAGAAATATAAGTTGCGAACTTACCTGCGAATTGAAACTTTCATGTGGGTTTATCTTTAGAAATACGTAAGGTTTTACTTGAGGATTTCATGTGGAAACGAAATATCAAGTAAACTTAATGACGGTTATAACTGTTGCAATTATGTTATTAAAGGAGTTCCAAAAGTGTCGTAAACATTAAAGACAGTTGGAGCAATGGTTTTCCAAACTGTCAGCAGAACATGCTGGCTATACAAGATTTTGCAGCAATTGACAATCATTGCAACCTAGATTTTACTACGGTTCAAACTGGCGTGAGAACTAAAAAAAACACCACGAACCCCATTTTTTCTTGTAGTGAATATTGGAGTGGAAAATCCTAAGAATAGACCTTCATAAAACTCAGGGTCAAAGCTTTTAAGGATACACTACTAGAAATACTCTGTTTCCCTGCCGATTTACCTGTCGATTTTGACAAAATTTCCGCAGGAAACGTGTTACCTGCGATTTTTTCTGCTATTTTTTGTTCCCATCTAAAACCTTCGTGGGTAATTAATATAGCAGGTGAAGTTGCAGGAAAATGTCGCAGGTAAAATAGATAAATTTGCAGATAACAACGCAGGTAAATGAAATTTTCGCAAAAAAAGTCGTAGCAAACTGAAAATCCGCAAGAAAACGCGCAGGTAGTTTCTCTCTCATGTTTTTAATTTTTGTTGTTAATTTTGTTTAATTTATATTTAAAATATTATAATTATTGTTAAATATAATCACATTCAAATTTCTAATTTGAATAAGACAATGCAACACTAATCACATTCAAATTTTTAAAGCAACCAAACATAACTATAAAGTCAATAATAATACTTCTAAAGTTATATTATTAAAAATGACACAATCAAGTTACTAATAATCACTTGTCCAATCAAATTAATAAGAAAAAACAATACAAATTTCAAACTAGCTAACAAGAAAAAACAATTCAAATCAAAATTCACAGCTAATGTTTTACTAATGCCTTCTTCATAATCTTCGTCACTCACTACCACTAAAATCATTGACTATTTTAACAAAAACCCATTTCAGACCAGTTGGTTCATCATTTTCTAATCTAACCTTACCTTATCAAGTTATCTTATCACTATCTCTTTTTCTCAACAAATTCACCAACTCGACGTCATTTGATTTCGGTTCAGAACGGATACCAATTCTTCCGTCTCCTTCCTCCGCCTCATCTCCAGAACCTTACAGTGGTTGTTAGAGTGAATATTTCTGAAAAACGTCGGGTTGAGGCCGGTCTATACTCCGGCAAAAGCCTATCGGACTTATACCGAACACCACAAGTGTTACATAATGTTTTGGGTCCAAGCGAACCTGTTCTACACTGTGGCGTTTTATGTACCTGGCAGTGGCTGCACCGTCTCCGAAGCTGAGCTTCTCCCGATGCGGCCTCGGGCTTTTTCCTCTGCTTCTTTGCTTTACACAGAATAGGGTTGAATGACCACGTGTTACAGTTGGGCCTTCTAGTCTTGTTGGTTCTAGGCTTTCTGCGAATTAACGTGAGATGAGAAGTAGCTTTGGTTGGGCTTGGTTCTGGTCTAGGTTTCGGTTCGACCCGGGCTTGAGCCGGATACAATAGAGAAAGCTCCGGTAGAGAGTCATCCACAAAGTGAGACACCCATTCCAAATCCGCAACATCATCAGCCTGAGTAAAAAAAACAAAACAAGTCATGAATTTTTTAGTTTTAATTTTAATACACATAAAATAAATAAAAAACATAAAAGTTTTTAATTTATTTTGAAGGATAATCAAACACTCACCGGAACTGCTAATTCACCGACAAAAATGGAGTCTGACTCGCCGGTACCAGAAAACGTCATGGAATTAGAATTTCCGTCGTCTTCTGTTCGGTCATGCTCAGAGCCAGAGGTGGTATTGTTTTTCTCATGTTCTTCTTCTTCCTCCTCGTAATTATCAATTTCTTTCTCGACAGAACCGGGTTTTTTATTGTCTCAAAAATAAGTGCACGGATCACACATATAATTTTTAGTTTAACATGGATAGATATAATCTTGTATAACTCATGAACAAACCTCTACTATCGAAACTTTTACATGAACAGGGCATACTGGAAAACTTCATCCAACATCATCACGACGAGTTGAATGACAAAATTACTTCCATGCCTGTCAGATATATTATAGAAGAAAAAAGGTGTTTTAAAACTCACTAAATATGAATAATATGCATCTAATTTATTGTGTCGAATGATAATCACAAAAGGAGTTGTGCATGTGTTAAGCAGAGTACTAATTTAGATAATCATACTGCCAGCCATCCATTCATTGACAACCTGTCTGTGGCATACATCGACCAATTCATACTAATTTAGTGACAAACTCTTCCAAACTAGAGGAATACATGAAGCACAAAGAAAGACATACCCGTTCAAAGTTTGCCTTTGTCTTCTTCCTTCATTTTCTTCTGCCACTTTTTCTTCTTGTAATCAAGCAACATATCTGGCATCTTCTCCAACAACCTAGAAGTATTTGCCCTCTTCTCAGATGCTATCCTATCAACCTTATGACCTTTTTGCCTCGTCTTCATCTCCTTTCTTTCAGGATCAAAAGTCCAATCTTCCCCCGCAAGTACTTCTTTACGAAGTCTTGCCCTATGCCGAGCACTAATACTTAGCGGCTTCCACGCCCCTAGTTCCCAGTATCCCCACACTCCCTTAGCCAATTCATCCTTGTATTTTGCTAACTTCTCACACCACGGATATTGATATTCTGCTACCGCCTTAGCTGCCGAGCCAGCCGCTTTTCCTGCCATAACCCCTTTTAACAAAAAACTCTCTGTCAGGAATTTTCACAAACAGCTTCCATGCATACCCACATTATCAATAATTAACAATTACTACAATTTTGACTTTTCAGATTAGTTCACTGAAATTGTTTCAGAAGGATTATAACACAATATGGTTAAAACAAAGCATCATCCAAACAGTATGAGAATCGCATACTCACGGAATACAAAAGAGTTAAAGAAAAATTAAATTAAATGAAATAGAAAAGAGTGAAACCTGGACGTTTTTTCAATGTTTATGGCACCGCCATCAAACTCCGGTGGTGTTTACCGGTGAGGCTTTGATTTTCACGGTGAGTTAGGTTCTAATTACAAGTAAGTTGCTTAGGACAACTTAATTTTCACGAAGTTGCTTTCAGCTTGTTATGTTTGAGTTCTTTATGGTTTGACACTTGGATGATTACCTATTTAGTCAAACTACCAACAGAATCAGAACCATCAACAGGATTAGAAATATGATTCAAATTCTCGTTACAAAATTCCTGACTACTATCACCACCATCACAATCAAAGTTGTTGAGTACTTTCAGCAATGCAGTTAAACAACCATTAACTGGTTTAGAAGCAATTGTAGATAAAATATAAGCATTATCATAGCCAGATGAAACCGGTGGCATTAACTCTCTATTTTGATGTAAATCATTACTATCTCTAAAATTAGAACAAGTAATGCCAAGATTTTGATTTTGGACATTAGTATTGATAGAGACTATTGTAGGGTCATTATTCAAAAACAACTCATGTGGGGCTATTCTAAGCAATTTTTCAGGGACAAAACAGTCATTCTGGTTATGATGATGCAATCTCTTTTTCATAACTAATTGATATACTCACAAAAGTAGCATTTTCATGCATTGAAGGTGCAATCTCTTTTTTCTTCCTCCCAGAGAAGGAAAGAATTATTAAGCATATAAACACCCCAATGAGGAAAGAATATAAACAATAGATTAAGCAGAAGATCAAACAAGATGGGTAAAAGTTAAATATACAAACAATAAAGAGATGATATAACATTAGCGATTAAGATCAACAAAAAAAAAATAGATGAGATGAAATGAAATGCGGGTGCTTTTATTCTTCACCGAAGCACTATACCAGTGTAATATAATATGTACCTAAAGCTATAGACAGAATGGAAAACTAACTAATTGCTATATACTTGACAAAAGTAATTATAACCAACTATTTAAAAGTTTCAAACGGCATATAACATGCAGAAATTCTATGATTGCTAAATTATGCAGAACTGCCTTTACTTTCTCTATATCACTGGATATATATTGTTTGATGGGCATATCTACATATCACCAAAAGGCAGTATTAATTTTTTACTCACCGAAATAAAAATTACAAATGCTTTTTTTACAATTAAGAGAAACCCCTTAAGACAACAAAGTATGAATAGTAAAAGACCGAGATGATATAAATTAGTCATTAAATATTCATCTTGAGTCTTGTGGGTCATGCAATTAACTAACATTCTCAAACTAGACAGATTATAAAACACTAAAGATGTTAGGCATAGCACATTCCCAACAAAGACAGATGATATAACAATTAAGATGTTAAGCTACATATATTCCTCAAAACAAACAAGAATACTCTGTAATTCAACACAGATAGAAAGTCGAGGTACCTTCTCAACCACAACCATGAGACGACTCTCTTGATCAGATAGTTGCGAAAATCTCACAATTGCACACCTACTCTGAATCGGCTCAATAATCTTAGACGATGTATTACAAGCAAGCGCTAAACGAGTAGAATTAGAATATATCTCCATTGTCCTTCTTAAAGCTTGTTGTGCTCCAGATGTCATACTGATTCGAGTAAAAAAAATGTTAGAACAAAAGTAAAATCCAATGAAAACAAGAATGAGCAAAGTAACAACATTAAGTGAATTAAATCACCACCAAAATATAAAACAGACCTGTCAGCTTCATCGAGTATAACAACCAAACCATCTCGTCTACTACTAGTTCATAACAAAACACGTCTTCCTCGTCTGAGGGAATGTTGAGGATTGATATACCCAATGACACTGAGTGTGAGGCTACTAGTTCATCATCGTCAGCATCGCCCACAGCAGGAGAAGGGAGATTAAGGTCGTTGAAGAGGTTTTTAAGCAACAGCAGACTAAATCCATGGAGTCCAACTGCTGCTACTGCATCTCTCCAACAACAAACAAAAGCAAAGGAATCAGCAGCAGAACACAGCTGAGCTACCTATACTGTTCAGCAGCAGAACACAACTGAGCTACCTATACTGTTCAGCAGTAGAACACATCTGAACTACCTATACTGTGTTTGGAACTCCAATGTTTTTATTCATTCATTATCCCTATTTTCATTACTTTTTAACTCTACATTAGTTTGGAATTATACTGTGTTTGGAATCAGCAGCAGAACACTACTAAGCTACCTATACTGTTTAGCAGCAGAACACAGCTGAGCTACCTATACTGTGTTTGGAACTCCTATGCTAGTACTAAAAACACTTGCTTCGGTACAAGGTCAGTTACTGAGCATAACTACCATGGATGAAATCTGTGAAATTGAATTCTAGACAAATAGTAAGTTAGCAATGGTCTCCAACATGCTGACTATCTAATAGTTAACCCTCATAAGCAAATCCTTCTGGCATGTTAAAATTGAGTTCTTTCTAACTTTACAATTTTAACTTATTTTACTCTATTCATAATTTTATATTTTACATGAACTAATTATGCATATATCTCTTACTATTTATAATAATTAACTTTTAACTATTTGAAGTTAAAAACCATATGCAGGAACAGAGAAGGAAAAAGGGTGGAGACTAGTGTAGATATTAATTCCTAAAAGGTCATCAGTAACCTTATCTGCTTCACCCAGCTTCTTGGATATTCTGGCCTTCTGTTCATCAGATATGTCATTTTCTTCAACAATAGCCTCAAGCAACTGAAGGAAACAGAATCAGTTACTTTGTGAAAAACTTAATTGGTTAAGTACAATTATCAACAAAAGAACTTCCCACTGAAACTAGCAAAACAAGACCTGAGTTAGCATCTGAGAGACAGGATACCCCTCTGCAATGAAATTGTTGACTTCCTTGTTGGCTAAATCAAAATTACCACTTTTGCATGCTTTAAGAAATGCCTAAACAACCTCTGTTGGAACAATCTGAAAGATACATATTTAAGATATACAGGATAAGCAGGAAGGGAGAAAAAGAAGTTTTCCCACACAACCAATCAAATTTGCAAGATGGTAAACAACAAGAATAGATACCACAAAGGAAGCATATGGTAATAGACAACATCAAATGTTTTATAAAATGACATACAGGCTGCAAATTTTGTGAACTTATGTCATGGCACAACACTATAATAAACAGTGAAATAACTGTTAATCCATGTTTTTCATATATAAAACCCACTTTCTCGACCAAGCAAATCAATTAATAACGCATAATGATCATATTATGCCTTTACTCCGTATCTCCTTTCCATTGAATCAAGCAACTCTAACCCTTCGTTAACTAAACCTGCATGGTTCCAAGCAGAAAGTACTCCAAGAAAGGTCACACGATTGGGTTCAATGCTGGCTTCTACCATCCTACTAAAAAGAACCAATGAATCTTCGCCGCAACCATTTTGCGCAAATCCAGTTATTAATGTATTCCAAGACACTACATCCCTCACATGAATAATCTCAAACAAATTTTCATTTGATTTCATATCTCCACACTTTGCATACATGTCAATCAAAGAATTACATACATACACATTAAACAAGTTGCCAATATTTCTACCTCTAATAATTTGACAATGAACTTGTTTACCTTTTCCTATAAGAGCTTCACTTGCACAAGCATCTAAAACACTTACAAAAGTTTGTGCACTAAGCATTACCCCTTCTTCAATCATTCCGCGAAAAGCTTCCAAAGCTTTATAACAACGTCCATTTTTTGCAAAACTCGTGATCAACACAGTCCAAGAAACCATGTTCTTAATTGGCATTTCATCAAACACCTTACACGCATCGTCTATTCTGGATGCTCGAGTGTATGCAACAACCATTGATGTCCAAGACAAAACATCTTTCTCGAACATCGAACTAAACAAATGAAACGAAGCATCGGGTTCCCCACATTTCCCATAACCATCAATCAAAGCATTGTTGAGAATCACATTGGAGTGAAATCCAACTATAACTGCCACCCCATGAACCTGTAACCATTTAACATTACCCAAACAAGAACAACAACCAACTATGCTACCAAGCGTGAACTCATCTAACATGAAACCTCCACAACCCTTTTGCATCACCCTAAAGAGTTTAACCGCTTCTTCGTAAGACCCATGACGTGTTAAACCGGATATAAATGAGTTATAGCTGACGAGGTTTTTCTGCGGCATTTTATCAAACAGTTTATGAGCTTCATTGAAAACTCCTCGTTTGCAGTAAAGAGAGAGCAGTGTGTTTCACGAACGTGTTGTCTTGTTGGGAAGATCATCAAAGGCTTTGTGGGTACTCTCTAAGCAACCACATTTGGAATACAAATCGATGAGTCCATTAGCGAGAAAAGCGTCAAAGAAAAGGGCGATTTTGATGAGATGAGAGTGCAAGTCTTTGGCATGCTTCAAGCTTTTCGCCGTAACACAGTTTGAAATAAGAGACGAAAGGTTCTCAGTCGTGGAGCTTATAACATCGGTGTGGAACATCACCGTGTCAACTCGTTAAGAATAATATTAGTAACATGTTTCATTAGTGGAGCCTAATGTATATTTGAGTTACGTTTATTATAAAATAAAATCCACTCAAATGGTTTTTAAAAAATGTCTTAAATAAGAATAATATGTACTAAAATTATTTTAAAGAAAATAAATCTAAAAAATATTTTTTGACAAAATTTAAACAAAAACTATTATTATTCAATAAAACAAAAAAAATTGTTGTGAAAATTATTTTAAAATAGGTTTGTTTTTATATTATATATATATATATATATATATATATCTAAAAAATTAATATGTCAATTATATTTTACAATTTTATTTAATAATAGTAAAAATATAATTAAATAAATAAACCTATATTTTTACAATTATATCATAAACTTATATTTTTACAATTATATCATAAACTTATATTTTTTATTTTTTTAATTTTTACAACAATAAAAAATTATTAAATAAATAAACTTATATTTTACAATTATATCATAAACTTATATTTTTTATTTTTCTAATTTTTACAACAATAAAAAAGTATTAAATAAATAATTTTTCATTAAACCTAACTAAAAAAACTTAATTAATATTATAAAACTTTTTTAAGAAAAACTAAGATTTAATATAAAATTAAAAAATGTCTCAACAACATATTTTTGTTTTATAATTTTATTTATTAATATTAAAAATTTAATAAAAAGTAAAAATAAACTAAACAATTCGCAGAAACATTACAACAAATTCCGCAGCAAACTTCGCAGCAATTCCTGCGATATTTCCAGAGAATTTTGTGGTTCCAATGTATAACTAGTTCCTGCAAAAAGTTTCGCAGTTAAATCTGCAGGAAACTTATATTAAACTTTTAAACCTAAAATCGCAGCTAAAGTCTCAGGAATTCCTGCGAAATTTGCTGCTGTTTAAATTTTCGCAGGAAACAGTGTTTCACAATATAAAGGCGCAGGTGAAATCGCAAGTATAGCTGCAGAACATTTTCCGCAGGAAAATCTGCAGGTAAACTGAGTATTTCTAGTAGTGATATCCTTCTTATTTTTAAGGACAAGCTACTTGCATCTAAATACTTTGAGGTGAAAATAATGTTAGGCTTCATTCCTTCATATATTTCTTAAGGCATTAAATTTAGGATTGACCTTGTCAAGATACAACTAATTACATAGCAAGTAGTGCTTACTGCATCAGTCCAAAGATAATTAGGAAGCTTGGTTTCATTGGGTATCTGATCTGACCTGATCAGAAAGGGATCGCTGGCTGCCACGCGTCTTTTACTTGTTACCTGCTCACCGGTGTTGAAGAAGAAGAGGGGGTGTACCTGCAAGACACTCCGATGCTAAAGTAAGCGTATGGGCAGAGTGATCACAAGCACAAAAAAGGGGTAAAGAGTGAATTACCTGACCCTCTTGTGAAAGAGGGTATTTATAGAGAGACCCCAGCGCTGGGCCAACGGTCACTTGTGTTGGGCTGGATTGTCAGGCCCAACCCAGGTGACTGCTAGGGCTTACATGGCGTAGTGAAGACCAGGACGTGGTCTTCGCCCTAGTCCAACTGTCTCGTGATCTCCAGAAAGTGGGTTTGACCTGCTCTTTCGGAGGTAGGCAGCTGGTCGGTGATATGTCCCCACGGAGGGGAGCACGTGGAGAACATGTGAAGGACACGTTGTCCTGCCCGACAGGGGAGCGGATTCTGCCCGCGGAGGGGCAGGTCTTGCCCGCAGAGAGGGCAGTGTGGTGATGAGAGAGTCTTACGCTCGACATGGATGGGCAGGTTCTTCCCGTGGAAGGGCAGTACCTGTCCGTCGGGGACCTTGTGCTCGGAGGCCGCGACCCAAGCTGGACTGGGCTTGGTAGGATATTATTGGGTTGGGCCTGCCTGGCCAAGCCGGGGCCCAGGACAGAACAGTATCGTTCATGATATTTCCTCAAAAGATACTTTTTTTTTTCCATTACCACCATTTAGTTGGGAAGTTCATGTGCTAGAGAAAGTGCATTTGATTCCATTTTTAACACAAAATTTATCAAATTCCACATTTTGAAATTCACCTTAGTGATCACCTTAGATAGATGTAATGCTTGAAACTTTTTCGCTTTGGATAATTTTGGATAATTTCTAAAAGGAAACAAAGTCTTCATTTTTATGAGATAAGAAAATTTCCCAGGTATAACGAAAATAATCATCCACTATAATAAAGGAATAATAATCCTCATAGAACTCATAGTTCTCGAATGTTAAGAAAGATCTATAGGCAAGATTTGTAAACACCTATTTGTAGATAAGTGATTCTTTTAAAAATGCAAGTTTGGAAAATCGATTACTAATTTTTTGCAAGCTAATTTGTTAAAATGATTCATGTGGATATGGACTCTTCTCTTATGTCAAAGACACAATTCATTCTCTTTACTAAAAAGACTAACATGATTAGAAGGTAGTTTTATTAAAAATAACAGTATCGGTATATCCACTTTTTAAACTAGTAAAAAGAGTTTGATTGATTTCAATTTTTACGAATCTATATACAGACAAATCAAATATTACGTATTATGTTACATTCGTCACATAATTGACTAATACTTAGCAAGTTATGTTTTAAACCTTCAACAAAAAGTACATCCTCAATTTTTGGATTACGATACTTACCAACCCTTCCACAACCTATAATCATTATTTTGTTATTATCACCATACGAAACAAATGTTGGGCAAGAATAGTAGATTACAACGGTCTAGAAGGGGTGAGTAGACCCCTTTCGAAAATCTGTCTGGTTTTAAAAAATTACATTCGATATGAATGTGATCAAAGATTTTCAAAAAATAATATGCATGGCAGAATCATTGCATGTAAAAGAGATTATGGCTTTTGGACAGTTCGTATAAGGTACTCAATATCAATACACAAGCAACGAGTGATTGAAACAAACAAATTAACCAAACAGAAAAGTTGTTGTATTGAATTAATAATCGATTTACATAAGATTTGTAATCATACAAATTTGATACAAAAGGTTTATAAAATTATAATCAACAACAAGTTCTCTTAAAGACCCAATGTAACAAAACCTTTATGCAATTAATAAATCGCTACCAAAGGCATAATAAGACCTAGCCACACCCGACTATAAGAAAGCAACAAAAAACCTAAACATGCAATACTATAAAAATATGAGAGAGAGAGAGAGAGAGAGAGAGAGAGAGAGAGAGAGAGAGAGAGAGAGAGAGAGAGAGAGAGAGAGAGAGAGAGAGAGAGAGAGAGAGAGAGAGAGAGTACATATGGATTTATAGTGGTTCAATGATATCGTCCCCATAAGAGCTTAATCAACTCTTCAATGGTTTCCCATTTAAATTTGTTTTCTTCTACTATGATATGACACTCCTTACAAGTATTTTTAGCATGATCACAATACAAATGTTAAAAATGTAAACAATCTTATATATGAATCCTCAATGACTTACACATTGTATCAAAACCAGACTCTTGCAAAATATTTACTCGAAATCAACTTAAATCTTCATGCTTCGAAGTATTCATTCTACAGCTATATTTCATTGATCCTACTGGTATCTTGAGCCTTGAACTTTCTGAAGATTAAAAATAACTCCATTTTTTACTCTAGGCTTCTGCAAAATTTTACCAAAGAAATCCTAGAGAGAAAAATTCCTTCTTTAACTTGTTGGACTCGTCAAAACCAGCCACAACCATAAACAATTGGCAACACCACTAAAATCTTAAGAAATCTTTCAAGAAAACATTAATCACAAACAACCTCCTCACATATATAACACCTTACAGATGAAAGATTTGATCCATGCAAAAATTAATGAAAAAATAGGTTGAAGATTAAAGAGTTTGTTTGCAAGAACAATAAAAAATAAGATCCAAAATAATTTTTGAAAGTTTAAGAGCAAAAGTGTGTTGTGAATCCTAGATCAATAGTAGATTAATTTTTTTGCTTGTTATGATACTTTATGAAGGTTTTGAGAGAGAAATATTTGTATAGGTGTTGGAGATCTAGTACAAATATGGGTGAAACTGATACTTGATTTTAGTCATAAGAAAAATGTATAATTCTAGCCAAAAGACCAAGTGATTCGAATCAAGAACAAAAAGGGGGTGTAGAAACCAATTTGTGATTCGAGTCACAACATGAGTGATTAAAGTCACATGAATCAAGTCATGAAACTTATGATTTGAATAAAATGAACCAGTAGCTTTTTCCAAAAAAAAAAAACTCAATGTACCATGATGCGAATCAAGGAAAGCTTACAATTCAAATCATATTAACATGAAAACATTCTCAAAGTTTTCTGTATCATTTGATTTTGTCATGGGAGGTTTGATTTAAATCGCATTCCTAAAATCTGAAAATTTTGAAAATTTAAAAACTGGTTAGAGATTCTAAACATGTCATGACTTGAATCAAACTCGAATATCGTTCTTGATCCAAAAACACAATATAATGACTTTAAGTATATTGCTCACACTATAAACAATCAGTTTGATTTACGCATGAAAAAATATAGATAAAAAAATGTATTCCTAAGATGCGCAATTAGTGAGAAAACTCAATGGAATATAAACTAGAATAAAAGATTAAAAGACAGGCAATCAAAACATAACCTAGGAGGAAGAGGCAATTCCATTTTAACGAATCCTCTATTTTTAGGAGTAAAAGGAAA